AAAAAAAAAAAAAAAAAAAAAAATTCAGCAAGGTTGCAGGATATAAGATCAATATACAAAAGTCAATTGTATTTCTATACACCAGCAATAAACAATCCAAAAATAAAATTTAAAAAATTTAAGTTACAATAGCATCAAAAAGAATAAAATACTTTGGAATAAATTTAACAGAAGTGCAAGATTTGTGCAGTGCAAACTACAAAACATCGGTAAAAGAAGTTAAAGACCTATATAAACGGAAAGACCTGTGTTGGAAGACTTAATATTGCTAAGATGCCAATACTTCTGAAATTAGTCTACAGATTCAATGCAATTCCTATCAAAATCACTGCTGGCTTTTTCACGGAATTTGACAAGGTGATCCTAAAATTCATGTGGAAATGCAAGGGACCCAAATAACCAAAATGAACTTGAAAAGGAAGAACAAAGTTGGAGGACTCACACTTCTCAATTTCAAAACTTACTACAAAGCTACAATAACCACGACAGTGTGGTAGTAGCATAAGAATAGATATATAGATCAATGGAATAGAATTGAGAGTCCAGAAATAAACCCATACATTATGGTCAGTTGATTTTTGGCAAGGGTGTCAAAACAATTCAATGGGAAAAATATTAATAGTCTTTTTAATAAGCGGTGCTATTATTGAAACCACAAAGGGGCTTAGCCTAGGTCTGGTTACGTGCCACATAGAGACAAAGAGAATTGCCAAGGAAGAAGGAAAATTTTAATATGAAAGATGTCAGGTGATGGGGAGAAGCAGCCTCAAATTCATCTCCCTTACTAACAGAGACTACGGGCTTTCTAAAGAGGGGCTATGTGCACTGGGGCAGGTTGTGTTGAAATTAACCAGGGGCTCTTTGCATTGGGCTGGGCTAGTGACAGATGGTGAGTCTTGGTGTCAGGAGGTCTGCCAGGGGACTTCAGAATCTCAATTTCTTTGTCTTGCAGAAATCCCACCATTTCTGGGAAACAACTCAAAAAGTTCAAGCAGTTAGTTAAGGAAGAGGATTATAAAAAATATATAGGGGGTCATTGAAATTTGTTCATAGAGCCAGTTACGGTGCTGGGACAAGTGGATATCCACATACAAATAAATGAAGTTGGACCTCTGTGTCACATCATATACAAAAATTAAGCCGAAATGGATGAAAAACTAAATGTCAGAGCTAAAACTATAAAACTCTTAGGAGAAAACATAGGTGTAAATCTTCATGACCTTGGGTTAGTAATCGTTTGTTAGACCTGATGCCTAAAAGACAAGCAACCAAAGTGAAAATAGATAAATTGGACTTCAACAAAATCAAAAATTTTGTTCATCAAAGGATATTATCAAGAAAGTAAAAAAGCTGGGGGCGGAGGCTCACGCCTGTAATCCTAGCACTCTGGGAGGCCAAGGCTGGAGGATTGCTCGAGGTCAGGAGTTCGAGACCAGCCTGAGCAAGAGCAAGACCCTGTGTCTACTAAAAACAGAAAGAAATTAGCTGGGCAACTAAAAATATATAGAAAAAAATTAGCCGGG